AAAATTGAGCAAAAATATACTAGACCAATGATTTGGTTGCCTACCTCGAAACTTATCATAGATTTAAGGACAATGAGCCAAGGGCTTCTTCGTATAATACAACGGCAAGCCCCCTTAGTTTTTAGGCGAGACGAAATCGCAAATTCCTTTTAATCAACTTTTCATACCAAATGGAAAGTGATGCCACAATATATCACTAAGGGATTCTTCAAACCCAATTTGTCTCCATATTTTCGAATACTTGGAGTGTTTCTTTTATTATAGTATCTATGTTCATTTAAAACAGTGCCAACAATCTTTCAGAAGCTGCCAGCCATGTTATTTGACTTTGAAGTAAGTTCGCCGTTTTTCCTTCATCAGTATGATTTCAAACTCTCCCATAAAACTCACCATTGTTCCCATTCTAAGGATGCGGCTGATTTATTCTCTCAAAGAGTTTCAGGGTGAAGAGTTAAAGGGGACGACAGACTTGAAAACGAATTTCTGCGTGCAAAATTGATATAATGGAATTAGCCCCTGTATAATTTCGCAAAATGTTTATTTCATTATAATTAATTTATGTATTTGTAATTAATTAAACTAAGGAGCTACCTTCCTTATCTCCACATCACATTTTTAAATTGTAGTTAGGAAGATAATTTTAACCCATTAGGTGCTTTTTTTAATTGTCAGTCTTAAGGCCCTTTAATTTGTCATGGTTCTACCGAACACTATCTATTTCTTAGAAGTTTTTTGAACCTGTTTTCGCAACTTGATCATATTGGTAGGAAGACTTAGAGGAACGCACCTAGTCTTGAGTCCACTGTATGCATGATAATATCTAAAATCAGATCATGGATGTGGTACATTCCCAGACGTTCGCAGGCATCGTAGTTAGCGCCATACAACAACTCGTCAAAGAAACAAATGAAGGCGATCCTTTGACCAAACGTATGCTAAACAGTTGTGGTATCTCTCCTTCTGTCCTGAGCTATTCACATTTCCTATATCCTCGTATCACACCTTTACTGTTACAATTTTTATTCAAATGTAGTGTAGTGTGCCCTTTTGAGCGGCTTTCTCGAGAACCCTCCACACTCCACGTTGGCGTTCTCACCGCCCTTCACCCTTGTATTGTGAATGCTGATCAGTCTGCCATATTGTTGCGCAGTCCTTCTTCCATAGGTCTTATCAGAGTCTCCTCCTTGCCCCATAGGATCCGTCTGCGATCTCCCTGGTTCAAGTATTTCACTCGGCTCCTGCCACCCCATCTGTGCTCCACAAGGCGTAATTTCTCACACTGCGTCTAAAGACTAACTGAAGAATCATGGTCAAGCCTTTACTACATGAAATCATACCACGTCTCTGAGACAACATACTGTCAGCCAACTAGCTCCAGTCTCAGCCGTGTATATCCTGTTTCTATCCCTAATACCAAGCCTATGACTTGCTATGCTCTAGCCTCTTGTGTGCCAACCCACAAACGTTGTTGTACTGCTTTCTTCGATTAGATTCACTGTTGAACCACAACGTTTGTTGGTTTGCACACAAGAGACTTTAGCGGAGACTAGAGTGAGTTGGCTGACAATAGACCTGTTTTACCATAGACGTGGTCCATGAGAGACTTTTTCACAGGCTATAGCCTCAAATTAGTCGCCCAGACGCAGGGGATGGGTAATAACGCCTCGAGTAGCACAAATGGGGTGGCAGGGGTCGAGTGAAATACATGAACCAGGGAGATATCAGACAGATTCTACGGGGCAAGAGGGAGACTCTGACAAGAACTAGGGAAGAAGGCCTGCGTAACAAGATGGCAGACTCTGACCAACATTCCCAGCACAAGGATAAGGCACATGACACTACATTTAAATAAAAATTGTAACAGTGAAGGCGTGATAAGAGGATATAGGAAATGTGAATATCCCAGGACAGAAGGAGAGATACCATAACGGTTTAGCACACGTTTGGTCAAAGGATCGCCTTCACTTGTCTATTTGACGAGTTATTGTGTGGTGCTAAGAATGGCAAAACTCACTGACGATGCCGACTACGATGCCTGCGAAACGTCTGGGAATGTACCACGTCGACAGTCCGACTTTGAAAATGATTATGCATACAATGGACTCTGGAATAGGTGCATTCCATTAGGTCTTCCTACCAATATGAGCAAGTTGCAAAACTTCTACAACGAAAGGAGACTACGACTACACAAAAGGCCACACCATCTTGGTCCTCATATCTTCGATTAACTATTTCTGTTAGTTTAGAGCTAAAATAATTACGCCTTTTCGTAATCCAACAAGGCATATAGTCCAATATTTATCCCACACTAGTTTAGGATTGTTTTATCATTTCCATTCTTTTCGTACATTGGGAAAACAAACTATTAGGACTTTGGTGCTAAGGGACTGGTCTCTAATGGGCTGCTAATAAATTACGGAACAGTCTCACCTCTGGCCAATAACAACCTTTTAGCTTGTAGGTAGAAGTATATTTTTTTATTTAGTTCTTCCTTAGATCCACTTCTCCTCTATCTCTGATACTACTTGAGTTTGCAGATGCGCATTCTCCTTCCTTCAAGTTGTGGCCCAAATGAGGTTGCAAGTGCAGACTACTCTCGGTTAAGCCAGTGGAAAATTGATTATAATGTATTAGGCTGCTAAATTCTTTTATTGCAAACCAGCTAACAGCCCCTCTTAAATCTCGTATTCTTTTTACGTAAATCCACAATTATCGGCTAAATCCAATTTTTCCGGGTTTACTATTGCGGATAACTTTTATTTATGTATCTAGTCCAGACATTGTCATAGATACTCATGAGTCTTGTAACACCTGTTCGAAATACTGATTAAGCACATTAGGTGCTTTGCTACTTTAATTTTATCTGGTCTTTGTTTAACATTTATACTTATTTCGCGAAATATTTTTACAGCAGCCTTCTCGAATTTCGCCTTAATTGTTGCTGTCTTTATATACTCAACTTATTTGCTTACCTCTAACCTCCATAACTCGTACAGACAATAAAATATTTACTTAAAAATGTGCTATTCATAACAGTGAGATGGAATTACTGATTGTGTATTTACAAAGAAGCCTAGAAAAACGTAAGATATGTTGCTTTCGCTGCCATTGTGGCTATGCTTATTCCTAAACCAAACCCTTTAAGGATGCATTCTCAGTTATTTCAGAGTAATCAACAATCTCATTTAAGACAGCCATTCTTAGAATTAAACTACGTATAAAAACTAATAAGTATGATAAAAACTATAAATAAACATTTTCATCTCTTATTAGTACTATAATTCCACTAAATTCTCAAGCCTTTCACATGAAATAACATGGATAAAGCTAAGTATCTGAAAATATATTTCTTTTACTAGTAGATATGAAGGCCAAGACTCTGTTCTCTATCTAATTTTTCTGGCTCGGTATGCTTAACTTAGTCATGATATCAGACTGGCCTCAAAGAACGGACCTTGGGAGGGAGTGTGATTAAGCCCCAGTAAATTTGCTTAAACAAGATATTCTCCGAAGTGACCCAGAACAAACAAGTTAGGTGTTTTGATGAAGAGGGTGTTAGATAGGAGAGATTTCACAATCGTGCAACCGAAAGTAAATCAAGAGATGGACCTCGCTTGTTTCTTTTGTCCGTTGTAACTAAGTACAAAAGATTATGACGCTCACTGACGAATCCGACTACGATGCTGACAAAATGTTTATAAATGTGCCAAGTCTAAGGCTAGACACTAAACATTTTCATGAGTAGTTGGGCAGGGAATTTCGAACAAAATACATTCTTTAAGGTATATCCAGCAGCAAAACCGAGTTGGGAATAAAAGGTCAAAGAAATTTAGAGTTATTTTGCTTCAATTTAGAAAGCTTAAATTATCTGTCTATTGATCACCTTGAATCAAAGAGGATGTGATACTTCTGCCACTTCGCTTAAATCCAGACAGAATCCTAAGCATCACACACCATATTATTTCCTCTTTGTAGACGCCTTGGTATGATCGATGAGTCAGGGTTGTTCACGCTGCACAGACTTACCATCGGTCTTGGCACACTAAATTCTCGAATCTCCCAGCCTTCTCAAAGTGCAGATGAAGACATCGTACGTACGGAAGATGATAAGACAAGTGAGGCGTTCAGCAAATTTAGCAGAAAGGACGTTTGGGACATACGATTTGCGGAGGTAGTGAAAGGGTTCCTTGTGGTATTATTCATGCTCTTCATGATAATGGCTTCTCATTTTCGTAAATATTTGTTTCTATATCCGTACTTAATTCTTCTTCTACTTATTAGGGGCTACGACTTAGGGAAAATCTATTTTTATTGGAGCATATATATATATATATGTGTGTGTGTATGTATGTATGTAAAATCCAATAAACAAATAATATTAAATGCTTTTTTACTCAGAACCAACGGGTTGTCGGCAAATAAATAGACTAAGCATAAAGATGCTGTTTGACCTTGTTTTCGCAACTTGGTCATATTAGTAGGAATACTTAGAGAAACACACCTTGTCCGGAGTTCATTGTATGCATAATCATTTCCGAATTCGGACCGTGGACTTGGAAATGATTAAGCATACAATGGACTCAGTATAAGGTGCGTTCCTCTAAGTCTTCATACCAATATGACCAAGTTGCGAAAACAAGGTCAAACAACTTCTATGCAACGAAAGGAGACTGCGACCACACAAAAGGCCACACCATCTTGGCCTTCATACCTTCGATTAAGCATAAAGACGTTGAAGCGAAAATCATACATACACATCGTTTGTAATTAAATTAGGTTTATCTTTAGCCTCCCAAATCTTCTATGTTAAGTCTGTAATTGGCAAGGTTATAGTAAGAATAAAACTCTATCAATAATCCTTGCTCCACAGGGACTCAAGCGACAATGAAGTTATGCCCTTATTTTCTAAGCCTGTGCTATAATCTAACTACAAGAGGTCAGCATCTGTGTCCTAACTTTATACTAAGCTAGATAGGATATCAATTAGGGTGATGTTCATAATTATCTGGCTAAGTAACAAGCAAATGTCTAGTTGTGATCGAAATCTCCAAGGCACGCTATATAGCAGATATCATTAGAAATTAATATAAACTAAAGCGCATCTGTGAAATTATCACTATATAAATTAAGTAAATAACTAACTATGCCACAAATTATTTATCTTAATATCATTTTTTTTACATATATCGCTCATCTAAAAGCTTCTAAATGCATTAGAAATTATCAGCATATGTAATATTCTTTCAGTTGCTACTGGTTCTATTAGATATAAAGCGAATACTGTTAAATTTTGGATATAGTAATCCTCTTTTTTTTCATATGACAACCTCCTGTTAATTCTTCGAAGGACAATCCGCGTCTGTTCTGCATTATGGATAAGACACGGCTTTATATTTACGAGGATCTTGAGGCGGAGCCAGCTGTCCAGACTTCTATCTATATATGTTCGTTTAGGGATCTTGAAGTTAAGGGAGTCCTTCTTGATGATCTAGTTCGGCATAGCCAGCACCCAGAACTCGACTGCTTGGTTGTCACCTCTACGAAAGTGAGTTGTTTTTGTTATTACACTCAATTTTATTTATTTCTCAGGCAATTATAGCGGCATTTGCTCTATATTTCAACTTGTCTTATGCATAAAATTTCTAGAACTATTGTTCTGCCATATTTATGCAATTTGCCAATTCAGTGTTCACCGAGTACACAGTTCATCTTTTTCAGGAAATGACTTCTTTCAGTTTTTAAGCTCTAAGACTATTTTTAAAGAGAATTTTTAGTGTTCCAAAGAGGATGTGAACTGTCTCAAGTTTCCAATTTAGAAAAATGCTGAATACTGTATGGGAGGCTAACAGTAGAAGGGCGATCATTGGAAGGTGGCGCGAGATAAGAAGCCTAAACTCTAGGGTCACAGCGGAGGGGAGAAAGGGAAAAAAGGAAACATGACTAACCTAGACGCTATGTTAGCTACTCGATATACCCTTGCGTAGTTTTCCATGTCAACTTCTGATTGGACGGTGCGGTGTCAATCTTTAGTTGATCGATGCGAAATAAAGAGTGAATGAAAATTAGTCAGGCACTTACATCATATCTGTGTCCAAGGCTGTACGGGATGTAATAAAACCAAACATTGAATGGGATAAGTGTAGGGTTAGGTCACTAAAAGTTCAATTTCCAGGATTTCTACAGAAACATATTCCTAAAGGCCGCATTACGGTGTCGAGAGAAGTGTTCAAAATGAGGAAGTTCTGACCAAAGACTTGTTATCAAGAAGCCCCATTTAATGATGATGAACTGACCGCAATACTATCCATTATTCTTATTTGCTACTTTTTATTTACTTGTTGAATTCAAGATAAGGTTTAATTTTGTCAAATAATCTCACTTAATTGAACGTTTCAGAAAAAAATTTTCATCCATTTTCTTCTGCAATTTAATATTTCCTTAGATTTAGTAGAATTTCAAGAGGTGGATCCTCTAAAGTGAGCACAAGTCTCATGATACAGGGATTAGATAATTGAGTTACGGGAAAAATATGGCTTAAAGATCTCCCTTTGGCTACTTGCGACCTTCTAGC